GGTTATTTTTTCTAGAACTTTCTCTATTATTTCCTCTATATTGGCCTTGTCCTCTATTATTGTTATAGTAACCACGGTTACTATTATTGTTATTATAGGAGCGGAAGTAACCTTTTCCGTGGTAATTTCCACGGTTGCTTCTATTGTAGAACAGGACAGTGTTTGATTGGCCTGTTGCATCTGTACAACTATTTACGAATTTGGACATGGCATCATCCAATGTGTTGAGTGTGCCAGCCTCCATGATAAATTAAGTCTTACCGATTGAACAGTTCTTAGTCATTTCCTTGACGCCAAGTGTTTTGCTGTACTGGGTAGCCAAATCTGAGGACAGTTCGTCATTTATGTTGGCTTCTTCTAGTGCCTTTGCCAATTTCTCTACTTCTTGAACGTATTGATTAGCTGTTTTCTGTCTCTGTTGGAGATTTAATAGTTTTGCCGAAATGACATCTACTGATACTTCTTTAACTTTATTTTTTAGATTGTCTATTATTTCTGAAATTGAATTCTCGTTGTCTATTAAGTTTCTTGCATGGCCTTTTAGCTTAGTCTTGATGAGGCTAACTACTAGAGCTTCATGTGATTCCTTCAAGGAGTTTTCCAGATTTAAGGAATCTAAGAAACTTTTTAAATTTTCGTCCTTACCATCAAAGTCTGGAATGAGTGATGAGGCTTATTTTAAGAATTCTGTTGCTGTGATAGCCATTTCTTCTTGTTCCGGTAATGTTATTACCGCAGGAATTGTCAGATCGTGTAGGTATTTTTCTTTTATATCAATTCCTTCGCTTGTTTCGGAATTGTCGGTATCGGTATATCTAAATTATACTTTTTTTTATAGTTATTAAATTTGAACGAAACTTGATCAATAATTTTGAAATTTTTGAACAGTTCGTTTTACTTATTATTTTCCTATTTTCATGAACTAATATTCTTGCCTCATTAAAGGAATCGACCCGAATCTTAGCATGTTTGTTAATTGTTTCATCCTGAGTTGCCCTATTCTGGCTTACACATTTGTAAGACTTATCGAAAGTTTCTTTTATTTCACGGATATGGAGAGCCAGAAGCTCCAATTCCATAATAAGTATTTATTCTAATGTTTTTTTTTATTGTCTTGTAATTTTTAATATAATTATTTGTCCTAACATTGGAACTTTGCTTTTTTCCGAGAATACTTTGTAGTTTCTCATAGTAGACAGTACTATTGCCTTCTGAGTGCTGTTGCAATGGATAATGGGTGAATAATTTAAGTTGCACCTATCCATATATTCATATTCAAAATCGGAAATTCCTGATTATCCTAAATACTCTATTCTCAAAATCTGGATCCTTATCTGACGTTATTCTTATATACTCTTGCGTGTTAATTTTCGTCACATTTATAAATGAATTTAAATTTTTTAAAACTTCTCAATTACATAATCAATTTATGTCTATTTGTTTTCATTTGTTTTGATTAGTTAATTTTTCTTATTTTTTGTACATATATATATATTTGTTTTTGAATATTTTTGGTGCTAGTTAAATTGAATCTTATCTAGATCGTTAGCTTAGTTTAAGGCCCTTTTTGTTATACACTTATTGTGTAAAATATTCGCTTTATAAAAAATATGCGCACAGAAAATAATAACAATTATCAATAACAATATATTCTTTAAGTGTAGGTCTATTTATGTTGATTTAATTTTGCTAATGACATTAGCAGTGGAGTCCAATGTTTTCAAATCGATTACCCCATTGTTGCTCTATAATTTATATAAAAATTGTCTTCAAATTTGCTTATACTATTATATTTCACTTAGATTCATACATAGAAAATTAGTTTCTCGAATTTTAATTTCGGTTCTTCTCTTTTTACATCATCCTACCTATTTCTTCTTATTGGCCACCAAGAACGGTTTTTGGAGGGCGGTTGGTCATCCAGGCAATGAGGTTTTCCATAAGAATTGATTACTGCCCAACCTTGGGGGGCTCGTTGCTGGAGAGACCCTACAGAAACAGATTGAGGTTAATTCTTGTCACACACCTTTCACTACCACAACAGTTGTGTGTGTGTGTGTAAAGAAACTTTAAAGAATTTATATCCAATTTCACACGTGTTTTTTTTATATTGGTCGTTACGGGAATACTTTGATATGAACTTATTTTTGGCACCTGTATTGAGAGAATGACGACGGGGTAAGAACGGAAACGCGGTTGTAAAATTTAAGGTCGGCTTTACATGTGCATTGGATCAGCTGATAAGCATCGATAGATACCAATGGATATATACTAGATAAGCTTTTGGCTCATGACTGCGTTTTTGTACAAATACTGCATATGAAGATGAACTATTCTCACCCTCACCATATATTTGTTTTTTGTTTATGAATGTATTTTGTAGAGATGTCCTTGGCTGCATCAGCTGGTCGTCGCCGGTTGGCTCGCTGATGCTCCTTCGCTAGCGTAAGGGGAGGCCTGTCTCTCACACTTGTTGTGCCAGCTGCAGATGTCCTGGGCCTATGTGCTCAGGCGGAGCCGGTCATCGCACATGGTTTTGCGCACATACCTTCGCAATAGGGACTTTCCAGTGGTCCCGGGCCATCTTTCGAGCACACTTCACTTCTATTGGGATTCTGCTTTGGAAGTGGAGGTGTTATTTTTGTATCTTTATTAATGTCTTAATCACTGAGTGAGCTGGAGTTATTGGCTTTTTATTTACAAGACTTGAATTAAGAAAATCCATTTCTTCTTGTAATTTTTGGGCTGTTGCCCAGGGGGGTGGTGTTTGGTTCTTAAATAATAGCCACTTTAAGTGCGCTATTCTTTTATTTAGTTTGCTTTTTACGCCCCCGCGGTTTGCCATAACTCCGTCTCTACTCACTCAGATTTATATGCCAAAATTCCAGTTGCAGTTCTTTATATTCCATCACAATTCTAGTTGCAGTTCTTTCAGTTTGAATCCAGAGTGCAGTCTTGTTGAGCATCGTCCAAAACGATTGATGAAAAGCGGTTGTGGTTGCGAGCTATGTCCGTGGATGCATTTTGATCCACGAACTCACGGTCGCCATGTAAATGTTCTCCAAATAGTTCATCCAGGCCAACCTTTGTGTTTGAGTTCTCTTTATTGAATAATTCTTAACTCGATTACAATTTTTCGTTCAGCTAGTGGGAGTGTAACTGCGCTGCCAGAGACGCCGACAGAGCAGCGTTCAATGCTTATGAATAGGGTGAGTCTTATGTTCACATGGTGACAGAGCGGTCGCGCATGTCAAATATGCATACTCAGCACTGCCAAGTTCCTGTGAACTCAACGGCGATCATATTACCGGGCACTTGATTAACTGTTTGGGACTCGGATTGGTGTAATCATATTGTGGCCATGTGCTACAATGCGTTTGTAATAATATTAATGCATAACACTAAGTACAGTGTGCATTCGATATGTGAACATACTACACTACAGTCTTCATCATCTAGGAGGCCAGATCAGAAGGGACTGCGCTCATCGCCTCGAACCGTTCCAAATCCCACCGACAGTTGTTGAGGTATCCAAAGACGCCACCCCTAGTGCCGGTATGGGCTAAAAATACTCAGGCGGATGGTCACACCGTCGCAAAGACAGTCCCAAACAAACAAGATGGAGACGAGCCATTAGCTTCACCCGGAGATAGATCGGAACTCATCGTTTCAAAGACCGAGGCTAACATAAGTAAGGTTGGACAGTTCGATGGAATCGGTCGCGGCATGACAGTTGAAGGTTTCCTGTTCAGCGTCGGTCGATTGCAAAAGTTGTATGGCATAAGCCGACATATATTGCCACCGGCAGGGGCGATATGAAGATGGACAATGATGTAGGCACCCACTGCACGAGCATGTGTATTATAAGTGTGGCAAAGGAGCAGACTTTTACACGAAGCATCTATCAAAGGAAGACCCCTGCCCGATCAAATTTCACGATGTCACCTGTCGGTTCTGCTACAACCGTTTCCGGTAGTAGCAGCTAAGCCCAAACAAATCTCCCCTCATAAGAGCCTACAACAACGAGAGATGGAGTACGAACTTGCAGCGTATCTTCACCGGCACGGTAGATACACGTAACGAGACACGAACCACAGGTAAGATACTGAAGTTACATGATGCTCGTTCTTTTACGAACCGAACGGATTTGGCAAAAAAAAATTTCACATTTTTGATTTGCCTGAAATTTTTTTTACGTATACTTTTCGTGTATCAGGATTAGGCCGAAAAAAAATAATTTTTTTAGTTAGAAATTTTTAAAGCTTGTAAAAAATCTAGTTTTCCTTTTTCTTGCAAGTCTATATCTCCATCTGTAGTTATCCGATTGATTTCATGTCCTTTGCATAAAGTCCTCTAAAACATCACTTTTTAAATAAATTTTTTTAAACACACAAAATTTTTAATTTCTTAAGAATAAAACCAATTTAAATTTAAAAATTTTTTTTACCATTGCCCCACAAAAAAATATTTTTTTTTAATTTTACAATATATTCTCCCATTTGTCACCTACAATCGTTTTTTTTTATAGTAATAAACCCTCCGATATTTTCAGCAGCCATCTCGCTCGCTCTCATTAAAACCTTATGGCGTTCGTATTTCTGGGTTATTTCACAATCTGTTGATAATTTCTAAATAAAAAAGGAAATATATTTAATTAGGATCAAATAAGTATTTATTTTACCAATTCTATATTTTTAATTTAAGTTTATTTTATTTGATTTTATAGGTTTTTTCTGAATATATCTACCACATTTATTATGTAATTATTTTACCACAAGTCGATTTTTCTTGTAATTAGCTATCGCTAATTTTTGGGTTTTTGGTATTAAGCAGTGAAAGGATAAAGTGCCTTTAACAGTCGTCGTTTTTGGGATTCTTTTTTCCAACTTTTTCTCTTAAACAGCATATTCCCAATACAAACGCCCTCGGAGTTGTTCGAATGGGCATCCAAGTCTCTACCAAATATGAAAGTCAAATTTTCAAAAAACGCGGAATTAACAGATTAGCAATAACTCTGACTTGTCGATCGATAGAGAAAAAAGGTTGAATTTTCACCGTCGCTCCGTTTCGAACTGCACGCCCTTCGCCACACAATTCGCGCAACTTTCGGTCGAGCGAGAGCAGCCCAATAGAAAGGAATCCACCAATCCAGAAATCCACTGGAACTCGTCACCTTTTCAACTTCCAGCCAGCTCCTCTGCGTGTGTGTGTGTCATCAAGATGAACAGCTCGGGCTTTATGTTCAACATCGATAATGGATATCGATAATGGATATCTGGAGGGTCTGTGCCGGGGCTTCAAGTGCGGCATCCTGAAGCAGGCCGACTACCTGAACCTGGTGCAGTGCGAGACCTTGGAGGATCTCAAGCTGCATCTGCAGGGAACCGACTATGGCAGCTTCCTGGCCAACGAGCCCTCGCCCTTGTCGGTATCCGTCATCGACGACAAGTTGCGCGAAAAGCTGGTCATCGAGTTCCAGCACATGCGGAACCACGCTGTGGAGCCGTTGTCCAACTTCCTGGACTTCATCACCTACGGCTACATGATCGACAACATCATCCTGCTGATCACCGGCACGCTGCACCAGCGACCCATCTCCGAGCTGATCCCCAAGTGCCACCCACTGGGCAGCTTCGAGCAGATGGAAACCATCCATGTGGCGTCCACGCCCGCCGAGCTGTACAACGCCGTTCTGGTGGACACGCCCCTGGCGCCCTTCTTCGTCGACTGCATCTCCGAGCAGGATTTGGACGAGATGAACATTGAGATCATCCGTAACACCCTCTACAAGGCATATCTGGAGGCGTTCTACAACTTCTGCAAGAACATGGGCGGCGCCACCGCCGACGTCATGTGTGAGATTCTGGCTTTTGAGGCCGATCGTCGTGCGATCATCATCACCATCAACTCTTTCGGCACCGAGCTGTCCAAGGACGACCGTGCCAAGCTGTATCCCAACTGCGGCAATATGTACCCCGACGGCCTGGCCGCTTTGGCTCGGGCTGACGACTACGAGCAGGTGAAGACCGTGGCCGAGTATTACGCAGAGTACGCCGCCCTGTTCGACGGATCCGGCAACAATCCCGGCGACAAGACGCTGGAGGACAAGTTCTTCGAGCACGAGGTGAAGCTGTACGCCTTCTTGCAGCAGTTCCACTTCGGAGTCTTCTACGCGTACCTCAAGCTCAAGGAGCAGGAGTGCCGCAACATCGTCTGGATCGCCGAGTGCGTCGCCCAGAAGCACCGCGCAAAGATCGACAACTACATACCCATCTTCTAAGCGCGCTAGATGATCGCTAACCATTTGGCATACAAATAATATTATACGTTTTTTTTTCCTGCCTTTCGATATGCGTTTTTTTTTGTTTGTCCCGTACCCTTGTTATTCAATTGTTTAATGTATATTATACTATTATTATGATACTGTAACTGTATATTTGTATGTAGTTTTGTTGCGAGTATTATTGCCGGCCCAGGCTAATTTTTGTCAAGTGTTCAGACCCAGACCTAAAGATTTCTCCGATTCCGCCGCTCCTCCCCCGATTGTTGTCAGCATTGGCCACCTAGATAACTATATAATATGTATTCGGGAGACCCCTAGTGTCCCTTCAGGGCTTCGTGTTTGTGTACATATGTATAATTATCGAACGGAACGAAAACAGTTCAAATTGAATGTAGAGAAAGGAAATCATCAGCACCATATGTTAACTACTATATAGAAAATGCATACTTATACAAAAACTACATATGTGAATGATAAATCAATTATTAAAACATGTTTTCAAACATTCCCTTAAAAAAAAAAAAAAAAAAAAAATACAAACGCCATACGGTTTTAATGAGAGCGAGCGAGATGGCTGCTGAAAATATCAGAGGGCTTATTACATTAAATTCGATATCTTGAAAACCAAAATGGCTCCAACCTATACCAAAAATCGATTGCAGGTGACAAATGGAAGCATATTTTTTTGGTTTCTTTGCCAAAACTAAAGTAGATGGAGAAGAAAAATGATCGTTACTAGACACAGGTGCTAGTGCGAACTGTGGGCAGTGGAATCATCCGAAGAGATGGATGTCAACGCAGGTCAAGAAAGTCAAAGTCCATCCCCATCTTTGCATCAGGTCCAACAAATAGTGGCGGATGATATGGCAGCCGCATCGCTAGGACAGGCTGAGGTTCTTTCCAAGACCTGACTTAAACAGGCAGAGCTTCTGTTCTGCCACAACGGCAGGGTTTTGAGAGATGCTTGTCTCCCTCCCATCCTAGATAAGTAACGGAAGTCAGGAACCTCAACCACCCTTAATTAAGCAAGCTATAGCACCAATGTCAATGGACAATAGGCCAGAACGTATTAGCTTTAGATTAGATTTTGGTGAATTGAAAATTAAGATTTTCTGGACGTGAACCCATGTTGGTAAATCAGTTTATATATAGAATAGACGCTGTGACTTATCAGACATTAGGTTGAAGCTTTGAGTTGCTGACGCGCTACATAAGTAATTTATATAGAGGCAGTGCCAGCGACTGGTACTGGCGCTATCACAAGAGTACCTGTGTTTAAAGGGGCCTTATTAGTTCGGCTTAAAGATGAAACAACCGATGTCAATATTCGGGAATGCTATAGATAGGAGAAAGCAAAAACAAAAAGAATCATTTAATGAATTCTATGAAGCGATACTGATGTTAGCAGATGAGTATACTATCCCATTGTCACAGTCCTCACTACTAGAATCCTTGTGTGCTAATTTATTACTAGAAATCTAGCACGAGTTGCTTTATGAGCGTGTGTTAAGTGTTTTACAATTGCGCCATCTTGTTAGGACTAGGAAAGTATTTATGCAGACGGTAAATCCTTATCAGGAGCTTAATTTGTTAGTGTAATGGAAAATTTTTCAGAGCATGAACCGAAAGAACTAGACGACGGAATAGATGCCCTTAACCTGGTTTGCTGCAACTGTCGAGTCGACGGGCACCCTTACCAGGAATGCGTTGATGATAGACGAGTATTTTGCTATGGCTGCCAGAGGTGTAATGTACCTCAGAATGGTACACGCAAACAGACGATCTCATCAGCCACCAACACGGATTAACTTAACCGGGACTACCTCACAAAATTCCTTAGTAGGCAATTGTTCACACTTCCGGTAGTTAGCGAGGCCAGCAGCACAAAGTTAACAGGCTTATCAACTTGAACAAGAAAAGCTGACGTTAGTATCAGCTGTAATAGCTCCTGATGCTAGACTATATGCCGAAGTTAATTAATTAGTTATTCATTTTTGTAAAGAATTCGGATTGCTACCCGAATAGCTGCTAGAAGAGAAGGCATGCGAGGGCGAGATAAACAATTGCGATGAGTTAGAAATGCTCGAACAGAGTCCATTTTCCGATGAGCAATCCATCTAGTGCCTAAGACCGTCTCTTGATTGCTTTTTGCCTTCGATCTTCGATTTTGTTTATGGGGAAGTCCAAAATTAATTTGTAACTGATGCCAGACCTTTCGTCAGCTGTTGCAGTCGTTTACAGTTGAAAATGTGTGCAGTTCGGCGGAAATAATTCAAATCGAAATTAAATCAAAAAATTTGGGCTTATGTATTTTAAATAGTCCGCCGCTATAAACAAAATTATTTCCATGTTGTTGATAATACTAAGCACGCAAAACAAAAAACAAACAGAAAAAAGTTTTCGTTAGATTTTGTTTTCCTATATAAGGTAGCACGTCTAGAGCCGGTCTTGTGAGAATTCGGGAAAAAATTGTATTATTAGTTTGAAAGTGGATCAACTCCCAGCATATTTAAGTTTAAGTTATTGCTTCGGCACACATGAAACGACGACAAAATGTGAAGATTGAGAGATATTGAAGTACAATTGCAAATTGGAAATCGATTTGACTGCTGATGCTAACGAGTCAGCTTTTCCTGTTAATGAGGAAGATGAAGAGGGTATTAAAAATGCGATAAATATGTCGGATTCCATGCTGGCTGCAGAGATTTGTGTAACATCAAGAGGAACTCATACTGCGTTGGGGAACCTGATGTCACCCTCAATTTCGATTGCATCGAATTCACATATTCAAACGCTATCGCACAACGCTTGCTAACTTTGACATTTGTCATGCTGTGCTATAAGCCTAGTACTCAGATCGACGAAAACCGCGAGCTAACCATAGGAGTGAGCGAGAGGCAAATATGCGGCTAACGCTTTTCGTCGGGTCTGTTTTTCAGCGCGGTACTCAGATGAGTTAAGGAAATACCAGAAAAAATACCTGATTTCTCGAGTGAATTTTCGATGAACGCCGTTAGCCGCGGCCCAAAGACTAAGAAGTTTAATCTTTGGCGGTGTTCGTGCAAAGACGATGTGGGAACTAAAAATTGAAAATGGAAGGAAAACCCCAAAATCGGATACAGGAGGTCAGTGCAGATGAAATAGGACGCCAAATCCAAGCTTATGGCCTTTATTGTGGGATTTCACCGACAGGAAGCAATTCCACAAAAGGGGGCAACTGTAGGAGATCCATTAGAGAACCCCAGTGGGAAGGAACATGCCGAGTACTAATAAAAGGATATTTTTTTTGCAGAACCCCCAGTAATACGATCTCCGACGACCTCTCCATTAAGACTCTGGACACCACCACCACCAGCTACTTGGCAGCTTAAGCGGAGTTGGAGGAGGAAAATAGAGCGCCCGCTAAGGAACAGTTTGAGAAGCCATAGCCAGCCATTGCCTGGATGCTGGGCCACTTCCTGCAGCATCAGCGGATCAACCCTGTTCTCCCACTTCCTCAAGGTCCAATATGCCTATTCGGACTCGGAGGTGTACTGCGGTGGAGCGGGAAAGATGGCGAAGCATACGTGGGACGAGAAGGAGGCTTTAAAATACTAATTTACATAAATGAAAACATTCGTTGAACATTCCATTTATTTTTATTTCAATTTCTTTGTGTACCAGCAGACTTCTCCTTTTTAAATTTATCCAATTGATTTGTTTTCCGTTTGGCAACAAACCCAGCTGCTTGACAGTAAGACCATGCTACATGCATTGCGGGTGAACTTCGAAAACTTCGGTCACATTACAAAGAATACGATTTTTCGACTAGTGAAACTCTTAGCCGATCTGAGTTCTACGCTATAGATCGAAAATCGACAGACATACCACACAAGTGGGGAGTGCAATTTTTCAAGTTGTGTGACTCCTCTGGATTTTGCTATAATTTAGAGATATATTTCGGCGCAGAGGACAACGTTGTTTAAACCTGCTCACCAGATCTTGGTGCGGCAGCAAATGTAGTTGTTCGACTATCACGCAATGTTCCGGATTTTAAAACCACATTATCTCTTTAGACAATTATTATACTTCTTTACCGCTTCTTATATACCTTAAATCCCGGGGACTATTTTTTTCGGATCTATTCACTTGAATCGCATTCCAAATTGTAAGGTTCCCAATGACAAGAAACAAGATCGTGGATATTTCACTGAATTTTTTGGATCTTCATCAGGAGTCGAATTGTCTTTGACGGTTTGAAAGGACAATAAGGCTGTGCAATTTCCCAGTCCGACCTGTCCATAAGAATAATGTACATTTTTCCTATGGAAATCGGATCAGGTTTCACATCCCCATTATGGACAAAGTACATTCCCTTTTATTAAGGCTGTCCAATACTTTCAGCACCTCCAAAAGGCCGGAAAAAGTCAGCTGGTGCTAAAACGTTCGCGATCGCTTTACATAGAAAATTCCTATGGAAAAAGCCAATAAGGCTGTGCGATTTCCCAGTCGGACCTATCCATAGGAATAATGTACATTTTTCCTATGGAAATCGGATCAGGTTTCACATCCCCATTATGGACAATGTCCATTCGCTTTTATTAAGGCTGTCCAAAATTTTCAGCACCTCCAAATGGCCGGAAAAAGTCAGCGACCGCTTTACGTAGAAAATTCCTATGAAAAAAAGGGGTGGGAAGTTCAGGGGGTCTCATTTTTTCGGGCCTTACCCCTAAATTTCCCTCTCCATTTTACATAGGAAATTTCTAGAGAATTGGATATAGGAAATTCCTATAGCATTAGATATAGGAAATTCCTATGGAATTGGATAAAGGAAATTCCTATGGAATTGGTTAGGGAAAATTTCTTCAAAATTAGCTAATAAAGCATTACAAGATATGCTTTTTTTAGCTAGTTTTTTTTAATGTACATCTACATATTGGGTTTATTAATGATACATAACCATTAAAGCTTAATGAAAGTATCTTAGATTTAAAAATTATAGATGAGTAAGGAACTTTTGGCAACTAAAATTAGTTTAGTTTTTTTTGATTATTTTTTTAGTTCTGGCGGCTTCATTGTAGGTTCTA